TTACCCTGTCTGCCGCTTATTACGTTACTTACAATCTATTAAAGGAGCAGCATCTACTTTTCTTAAGCTAATTATTTTTTTTAAGTATCCGCTTTTGACCTTTGCTGCTTAGCTTTAAGCTACGTGCTTTCACATTTCTACGTTCTGTTGGTTGTTAAGAGTCTGTTCTTGGCTAGTATTTCCATTTCCTTCTCTTGTGGGGAAGTTAGAGTGTACACACAAAATGTGCCTTTATTTTGTAAAGGTGTGCCACCACCCTACCCCAGGTGGGACTCGAACCCACAATCCCTGGCTTAGGAGGCCAGTGCCTTATCCATTAGGCCACTGGGGCAGCTGGCCAATGTGTCACCTGAAGGTATTAAAACGTTTAAATCGACCAGAAACTGGTTTGGATTCTATTCGAGAAAATTTGGTTTGTCCCCCAAGACATTCCAGCCTTTGCGTCCTCTCCCGCGCAGTCGCCGCTGGGTGTCCACCTCTGCGGCCCGGCGCCCGAGCAGACAGACCCGCGCGAGGGCCGGGGAGGGGGCTCCCGGGTGCACCAGATTCTCCTTCGGATGACAGAGAGCAGCGGAGGGGGTGCTCTGGCCGGCTTCGTCGGGGAAGCATTGGACCTTAAACTCTTAAGTCGCCCTCCTGCATGGCACTCCTGGGCCCAGCTCTTGACCAAGACCACGAGAGGGGAGAGACGGAGCGGAACAGACACCCCCGAAGTAGGGGGCGACCCCACTGAGGCCGCACGCTGAGTTTTGCGAGGGGCCGCAGAGAGCCAAACAAAAGCCCTGTCCTGGGGCTGCCCAGAGCGACGTCCTCAGTGTCTCGGACGCAAACCCTGGAATATCCTCCAAGCCCGCCCTTCTGCATTCACAGCCACTTGTTATTCATCCCGTGGTGAAAATTCACCAGAATCTGGAGCGCTTCAGGGACCTCAGAGACGCCACACCCGGGGGCCCAGCTACTCCCGCGCTGGGGCGGACTCCGCCTGGCGGCGGGCAGCGGCGGGAGGCCGAGGGTCCGCGTCCAGGCTGCGAGTGCGGTCTCCGTCTCCGCCTGCGCTTTCGGCTCGGTTAAAATCCGCCGCATTTTAGCGGAAGGAGACGAGGGGGAGGCTCCAGCTTCGACCCCCAAACCTAACGCGCTCTTGGAGGCTCGGGTCTGGTTCTTGTTTCCTCTATCCCGCCCGGGGGCCCAGGAAGATGCGAGAGCTACCAGCGAGCCCAAGGAGGGGATTGGCGTCAGGTGGCTCTGCAGGGCACGCAGGGACCTAAGAATAGCCACCGACAGCCGACCTGAGCTTAAAACTGCGTGCGACGAGCTGAGGCAGGCTTGGTGGCACGGACCTGTAATCCTTGCACTTGGAGGAGCGTCTCGAATTTGAGGCCAGTATGGACTATTGGAGAGTTCAAAGTCAGCCTCAACTCCATAGTAGGACCCTGTCTTGAAATATAAAGGTAAAATTTGAAAACTAAAAAAGGACTATTAGTAAACTAATATTATATATGAACAGACCAACCCCGTCTGTTCATCATATATAAATTTCACAACCTGGATTTGCATGTGTGTGTGTAGGGGGCGGTTTTTAGAGACAGACCTCTGTGCTACTGTGCCTGGCTCTAATTTCAGGTTCATGTTAAACATTTTTGGCAAAAATTCTACATAGTACCATGGCACAGGTCACATTTTCTTTATCCGTTCATACTTCAATGGACACTTAGGCTGATTCCATGTTCTGACTCTTGTGATTCCATGTCCTGATTCTTGTGATTAATCTGCAGTAAACATGAGAATGCCGATGTCTTTTTTTTTTTTTTTTTTTTTT